TGCCAGTTTTTCAAATTAAATTCAGCATTTTATTCCGTATCCCAATGACCAGCAAAACAGCAACATAATCATGTAGTGCGTTCTTACCCAGGTAGCAAAAAGCAATTATCACCGCCGTTGAATCTGCATTACAAAACTGTCGCCCCTGCTTGTTTTTTTTATTTTTTTATTGGCTGACTGACTGGGCAGTTGTTTAAATTATAGTTTGGGGTGTAATTGTCCTTGAAGGTAAATTGCAAAAAATAAATGTATATTAGATTGTTATTGAGAAATAAAGAGGAAAGGAGAACATTCACTCAGGTTGCATAACATTTTATGCAACAGATTTTCTTTTCTTGCTTTTCTTTTAAAGGACTTGACTCTTTGAGGTTTCAAGGTCCCGATAAATCATTGATTGTAGCAGTGTAAACACAGAAGTCACACAAGTCGGCTGTGCAGCCTGAGATGGTGAGGTGCTCTAACATAATGAAGATTATATAGCCAATCTATTTGCAAAAAAATCCATTTCACATGAGCTCTGTTTGTTTTTGAATCTGAAACTGAATCTCTGGATCATACTGTGTTCTCTGAATGGTTCCTGTATGAACAAACCCATGTATGTAGCCAGTCATGGCAGGGTTGTTGACTTGCTATGCAAGGACACCTTTTGATCCGTGAGCATGTATAAACATCCCCCTGCTGTGTATTCCATATTCAAACTGTGCAATGGACATTTTGATGCGTTAACACAGCAGATGTTCAGAGCAGCAGACAGGTTTTTGTTTTGGAAGTGTGGTGTATGTTTGACCACAGTTTGGACAATTCCTTTCTGAGGTTACAAAAGACCAGCCTTTTTTATGACACTGTGTCTCACAGCTCGGATAGGAATGCAGCCTGCTATTGTCTATATTTGGCGGTCTTGGTATTGAGAGTCTGCACATGACAAGGATGTCCAGATTGTTTGCATGGGTTTTCCGGCAGGTGCTTTGGTTTTCTTCCATCCCAGAGACATGCATGGTAAAGGAATAGTTATGTCCTAAGCTATGTGGCTGCTGGCTGGAGTTTAACATTTACTGTGCAAACATGAGTGGTATGTATCTGCTCATATAGCCCTTAGCAAGAAAGCAAATATCGAGATATTGCTTTCTAGAATACTTTTGCCATTGCCCTTGAAGAGACACTCGGCTGGCTCCCCACTGTGGATGCCCACTTCTTCTAAATAGTTAGGATGGATCCAATACATAGACAGAATTTACCTACAGGCATAAAGTTAAGTTTAGCTCATAATCACTATTATATTTTACTAAATGTGGAAGTTCTTGGGGCACTAAGCTTTAGTAGAACCGTATTGAAAACCTATTAATTTCCTCTAGAAAGAGGAAACTATTAAGCTCCAAATTTCACAGATTATTAGGGGTGAAGGTGAGCATGTGTACTACACCTGGCTCTCTGATTGGTATCTGGGCCCCCAGGCAGTCACTTTTTGGTTTCATTGTATATACCGACTGTATCCTGTAACCCTGGCCCAGGGTTATTCCCCTTTTTTGGAAAGGCAAAGAAAGACCAAACCCATGTTATTTTTATAGTTACTACGATTATTATTATTGTTGTTATAACTGAATGCTGCCCTTCTCCTGTTGCTGCATAGAGGACAGAGGTTTTAATGTTGAATGTTTGAATTTCCCCTGTCACACAGAAGTCACGAAGAGGGCACCACAGGTTACAACTTAATTACTCTACGTTACAAGTTTGAGCCCTGGAGAAAATAGTTTACACGTGCACAACTGGGAGAGGTGGTATGTGAGCTGGTGTTTGTGTATTGCAGCAGGACAAGGTCTTCAGAATGAACCAAAGCATCAGCTGCAGCTGCCATGTTTCCCTGTTTAGAAGATGTGTGCCTTAAAGGCCTGATACTTGTGTACACGCCCACATTCAAGTCACTCATGCTCATCTTTCCTACATCTCACACTGTCGTGCTCGTACACACACACTTGAACGATGTGCTCTCTCCTTTCTCCGGCCATGTGTTTGACCGTCGTTTCCCCTGTGGAGTCTTTGGTTCTGCTTGGTGGTGTGCCATGTTTGACTCTGTGCTCCCCTTGTGGTGGAGGTGTTCCCTGGATTAAACTTTTACACAGCTTCTTGCATTTAACCTTCAAAGTCTTCGACTGTAAAACATATTATTTATACAGCACTTCTCAAAAGTACAAGAGTTTTTCAAACGCAAAGGATTTTAGATGAAATTCTTGATGAAATGAGCTGTAAAAGTATATATTTTGTCCGTACGAAACGGTGTGCTATATAGTTATATGGATTAAACGGAGCATTGATGGAAAGAATTTGCGTCGATGCTTTTTAGTAATCGAATTAATCGATTGTTTCAGTTCTAATGTTGGTGCACATTGGTGCTATGAAATCTCATTTTAATGTTTCTTGTACAAAAATTCTGATAGAGATAACATCCTACCTAGGGTTGTTAGTAGCAGTCGTCTTGATGGACTTTCATGGATAGAGTTCATGACTTCGGTTTGTTGACTTTGAGCCCAAGAGGTCTCAGAACTGTCTGAAGACACTGAATCTATAATTTCAAGGGCACTGATGCTGGGCTCTGATCCTGTGCTCTGATCTCTCTTTGGAGGAGGTGAAATGAGAATTTCCCCTCAGGGATACATGAAGTATTAAATAATTTTTTACTCGGTCTCCTTTGAGATTTGGAAACCTGTGAGCGCTTTTTCCCTCTATATAAGACAGAACTAGCATGGGATAGGAGGAAAATGAAACATGTCACGTTTGTTCTTAACAATGTAATAATTTTCAGAGTCGCTTAAGGTATTAGATTCTGATTCAGGGTGGTCTTGCGCTGACCTGATAGAGAGGCAAATTATTATCATCTTTTTGTGTGTGTGTGTGTGTGTGTTGTGGTTCAACAAAGGATAAAGGATAGCAGTACATGACCTCAGCTGTTCCAGATGGAGCTCTTGGTCGGGAGGAGGGAGCCATAACGTGCCGCAGGCTGTTCAGAAAGGGGCTGCCTGCCCCCACGCGATGAGAAGCACAACATTCAGTCCATGCCAAGAGAAATGCACTAGTCTGGCCTTCAAGCTGTTTGCATTTAATGATCCCCATTAACAATTGGCTTAACCATAGAAGGAAATGTACTGTCATTAACTTCTATGAAATAACTTTGATTATGTGGCATAGACAAAAGAAAAAGAGGAGACCAAGTCATTTGTGGGGTAGAGGTTTCTTAAGGACCACCAGAGGCTTCAGTGTTGGTGGCCTCATCAGCAGTTTTTAAGCATTTTGTCATTGTTATTATGTAAATTAGCCCGGTGGAACTTTAGAGGGACATGGGAAGCAGTTTGCCTGTTGTACTAGTGGATCTAATGCGATCAACTTTTGCAAGTATAGAGCCCGAGTCACTGGATCACCGACCAACCAGCGCTCTAAAGAAATGATTTTAGTGAGGCTGCAATGAACAGTCATCTTCATTATTGGTTAATATGTCAATTATCATCTTGATTAATTGTTTTATCTTTACAGATTTGTAAAACATGCATGTGACAATCTCCTTAGCCAAAGGGGACGTCTTCAAAATGTCTTGTTTTGTCCAACCAAGTCCATAACTGAAGGATATTCAGTTTACAATGATTTAAAACAGAGAAAAGCAGCATTTCTTCTTATTGTAGAAACTGAAACAAGGGAATGTTTGGTATTTTGCTTTTTTATGACCTCACATCCAGGAGAATCATGCTTATTGTCAGACAGGACTGTTATTTACATCTATAATTATTTACATAGAAATGTCCCCTCAGGATCTATGGAGATAAAACTGAGACTGTCACTCTCCCAGATTTCAGTATGTGATGTGATGTGATTACAAGTGCTACATCAATTGTCACTGAAATGAAATGCTTATCGTAGCTGTATATTTTTACATAAGATGTTAGACAATACAGAGAAGTTACATTTTTTTCTGCTGTTTTATCACTTTACTTACCTGACCCCCAAAAAGTGCATTTTTGTGAACTGTTCCCACCTCTAGCAGCAGTAAAGCATCACTGCTGATGTTCTTACTGCATTGCAGTCTTAACATATATCCATGCACTTATTTTTTTCATTTTGTGCTGCAGCAAAGCCTTCGATTTTGTTTGAACTTGTACTCCAAAGCTTGTTAGAAAACTTGTGTGTAACTTTGACTGTATCCCAGCGAGCACTGTCGCAGCCATGCTGAGGCTGAATGAGCAGAGATTAGAAGGGTAATATAATTTTCCATACACCAGGCTCTCATTGAAATAGAAATGTTTAACCAATTACAATGACAGTTTCACTAAGAACAACTGGATCAAACTGCTTCCAGACATTTCAGCAAGGGCTACAATATCATGATGTAAAACATTTAATATCCTCTGTAATTCAGTTATATCAGTTTTGTCATCACTGTGTTAGACATAAAAGTGATGGTGGTTGAGATAGTCTGGTGGTCTAATACTGAAATTATATAGTCCTGTCCAAGGCATAGGCTGTGAAATAAAAGCAGGTTTGACAGAGACGTCAGCTGCCGTGTTGTGTGGGGATAAGGTGTTTAATAGTCTAGGGGTTGGGAGCATTGCTCACATCTCACTCTGGACACTGTGGTCTTTTTATAGTGCCAGCGCTGTCAGCAGGCTCTCTGGAACAGTCTGATTTGATTTCTTTGAAGTGCAGACTGTTATTTCCTATTGTGGCTATCTGAGATGTCCTCAGCTTTCTCCACTGGAGTGCTCTGGTGTTCTGTACCCATTTCATCCATGCCAGTTCTGTGGTGTTATCATCCTTTTTTTTTTTTGGCCGTAATTCTTCTGCTCTTGTAAGCTTTCCTCCTCCCTCTCTTGGTCCCTCCCTCGCTCGCTCCCTCTGTTTTTAGGCTCTCTGAGGAAGTCCCAGGGTGGTGTTGTCAGACGGTAGCTGCTGCTGAAAAAAGAGTAATCATGGCTTATGCTGCTAATCTGTTTCTGTCTCTTTTCTTGTTTCTCTCACAGGTGAAGGAAACTGTCTCACTCTAAGCTATGGAATGCTCCCTGCACTCGCCATCACTAATATCCAATCCCTGGACTGAACTCCAAACGCTTAGTTAGCGGCTGTGCTTCTCCCCTCGAACTCTTTATAACCAGGGGACGAAGAAAAGGAGTGGGCTTACCAAGTCCAACACATTGCACAGAGCGCTTGTTTTTGTAGAATATTTAAGCTAGTTTTTTATTTGTTTTTCTCCGATTTGGATTTTTTTCCTGGCAAAATCATATCAAGATGGATCTGGAACCGTATCTGTGGATGGTCATTGTTGGCTTCATCATCGCCTTCATACTGGCCTTTTCAGTGGGCGCCAATGATGTGGCCAATTCTTTCGGCACAGCAGTGGGGTCCGGTGTGGTCACATTGAAGCAGGCCTGCATCCTGGCGTCTATCTTTGAGACGCTGGGCTCAATGCTGCTGGGGGCCAAAGTGGGTGAGACGATTCGAAAGGGCATCATAGATGTCAACTTGTACAACGAAACTGTGCCCGTACTCATGGCAGGGGAGGTCAGCGCCATGGTCGGTAAGTTGGACTGCTTTTACATCGAGTGCTGAACTGAAATGATTAGTCGAGGAGCCTATGAGATCAACTGACATTTAATCAGCCACTTCTATGGTAATTGATTAGGCATGTCTGTCAGTCAGCTTCACAATTGTAAGGATTTGCTGCTTTTGTGATATATGATAGAAACTGGAATACCTTTTGGGGTTTGGACTTGGGATTTGAAATCATAGTGGCCAGTTTTCACACAAAACAAACATTTTATGGCCAAACAAAAAAAATTGATAATGTAAATAAACACGGGCTGCAGCCCTAATCCAGTGAACCATGTTGTTGCTGCTTATATCTTACTTTTGACAAAAGTAACTGAAAAAAGTAGCTGAACTGTTACTGATTCTTGGCTACATTAAGTGAAACAAACTGGTGATAACTGCAGAGAAAAGGTTTTAGAAAGAATTCACTAATGAATAATAAATACATCAGTGCTGAAAAAATTAGTCAATCAAACTAAAACAAAAAATAAGCTGTTTACAAGTTCTTACAAGTTGAGGATTTGCTGGATTGCTCTGCCTTAAATAATTGTAAACTTAATATCTGTCAGTATTGGACTGTCGGTCAAACTAAATAAGACAAGGCTCTTGAAACAATCGTCACCAGATAATGAAAACTAATATATAATCATCAGTTGCAGCCCTGAAATACATTATAAGAAACCTCTGTGTATGTATACTGCATTATACAAACACTTGCTGTTGACGATATTTGGGAAATTTGTTACGTGGATGATGGGAGAACTCCATTCTCTAACTCATAATCCCGTAACAATAGACCTTTGCAACTTTGCTTCAATTAAAGTCAAATTTATTTAATCCCCTGATCTGAGAGCAGAGGATAAAATATTCTAATACATGCTCCTGCAAGATGCAGACCTTACATGCCTCTCTGAAATGCTCTGAGCTGCAGCCACTCGTAGGACACATAGGGACACAAGGGACGAGGACTCACTCGCTCTTCGTTACATATTTTGAAGCTTGAGCATTTCCCGAAATTAAAAAGCTTCTGCAACTCTTCATCTTACCTCTTTGTGAGCAAAAAGGAAAAACAGTTGGAGCCACAAACTAAAATTTAACAGCTAAATTATATAATTCTACCATAAACTGTAAAAGTTCATAGTTGTTAATTTGGGGAACATCTGTGCTTGTTTTAAAAAACACTTTTCTATCTTGAATTTAGGAGAGAAATGATAGAATTAGTTTTGTGCTGACAAACGGTGTGAAAATCTATTTTCAGATAAATCGTAAACCTGTGATGTTTTGGGAACGCAAACCAAACTTGAAGCATTGTTAACATCCCCCGAGTTGCTTCACAGAAAAGACCTCCCCCACATTGAAACACATTCCCAGTGAGGCACAAGCAGGAATTGTTGAGTATTAACCGTAGCTTTACACATCAACAATAGATTGCTTCAGTAAATGAATTGTGCTGAACTGAAAACAATGGGGCTCCCACTGAGACAATGCCATTTTAATGACCAAGTGACTGCTGGGATACGGTGATAAATAAGGCGATATTATGCACAGGGGATTCCCGGTTCGCTGAAAATTCAGGTGTGGCAGCCTGCTGCAAGTGAACATTGAGGAAACACTAAACAGTTTTCCTTCATCAGGAAATGTGTTTCACTGACACATTGTTTTTACAGAATTAGAAGAATTTTTGACTTCTTGGTTTGATTAGATAAAAGCAGGAAATACTTCTATTGTGTCCAGCAGGTTGTAGTGTTTCACAGAATCTGCACAATAAAGTATATAGTTGTCTATGTCTAATGTTGCCTGAAATTAAAAAAAAAAAAAATTATACACTGAACAAAATTATAAATGCAACGCTTTAGTTTTTTTTCCCCCCATTCATCATGAGCTGAACTTAAAGATCTAAGACTTTAGAGTCTATATGTACACAAGGCCAAGTATTGTCCTTTTATTATGGCCAGCCTAAGACACACCTGTGCAATACCCATGCTGTATGATCAGCATCTTGATATGCCACCCCTATGAGGTGGGTGGTTAATCTCGGCAAAGGTGAAGTGCTCACTAACACAGATTTTGACAGATTTGTGAACAGTATTTGAGAGAAATAGGCCTTTTGTGTACATAGTCTTAGATCTTTGAGTTCAGCTCGTGAGGAATGGGGGCAAAAACTAAAGTGTTGCATTTATAATTTTGTTCAGTGTAGAAAAGAAAAGATTGTGACCCTATGGGATTTATGTCTTGATACATTAATGATTGATTTTGATCGAGCATTCTTATTTGATTTTGTTTTCATTGGCTGTCACAGATTAAATGCAAGCATCAAAGATGTATAATCCCATATCTTAAATGCACTGCAATTACTGTGTCTCATTCAGCAATTTTAGATCCAAGTTCTTGTTGTGTTTATGTTCAAACTGTAACTGAAAGGTAGTCTGTGGTGATGGGGGAGAATGCATCTGCAGTTCACAGATTATAGTGAAAATTAAAATGCAGGTTCATTTGTTAAAGCCTTTACAAACAATACAAACCTAAAGCCAGTCATTTTGAACTTGAAACAGCAGACACCGAAAGACCCTCACTTAAGATGTGGCATGCTGTCATAATCCAGTTTGACCACTTGACCAGAAAAATTACACAATGATTCAATGAATTTGTGGGATTGTTTTCTCTAGTTCCAGAGCTACATTTTTGATGGAAAACATCAAATTAAATATGAAAAATGTCTGAGATTTGTGTGTCTGGTTGGATCACAGGGTCAGCAGTCTGGCAGCTAATCGCCTCCTTCCTCAAATTGCCGGTCTCTGGGACTCACTGCATTGTTGGCGCAACTATCGGCTTCTCCATGGTGGCCATCGGCACCAGGGGCGTGCAGTGGATGCAGCTTGTCAAGATTGGTAATGGCTAGGGGCTGTGTGAGACCAGTTTGTGCGTGTTTACAATGCCTACTGTATATCCTCATGACTTTATATCCGGTATACCAACACACACTGATATATTTTCAGGACAGCTACAGTAGAATTTACTTGAGAGGTTTTTAGCTCTGTAAAACATAAACATTAATCATCAGATTTTGTTGTCCACAAGGATAAGTCCCTCGACCATTTTACACAGTGAGAAAATTTATTTTAGAAGAGGTAGAGTTACAGATTTCTCCACCGGAAGAGCCTCAATAGACCATCATGTAAAAAAAATAAATAAACTCATTTTATCTTAGCTGGAGAAAGAAACCCTGGCTATTGCTTCTGTCGGCGGCATGTGTAAACCACAGCTTAATTTTTTTTTTTTTTTTTTTTTTTTTTTAATCAAACCTGTTAGAAGTCATTTTCGGAAGGGTAGGAAATTACTAATTGAGGTAGGCCCTATAGAAGAACAAACGATGAGCCGTGTTGGGGAAGAAAAATTACAATTTTAACACTGAACCATCGCAGCCTGATGATACTATATCAATGAGTGATTTCAGTCTGATGTGTGTTGCTGCCCTTTCCTGATGACATTTTCTCCTCTCAAGTGGCGTCGTGGTTCATCTCCCCCTTACTCTCTGGGCTCATGTCTGGACTCCTCTTCATCCTTATCAGACACTTCATCCTCAGCAAGGTGGGCTCACATTACCATACTGTATTTATTCTCACACACACACACACACACACACACACACACACACACACACACACACACACATATTATTTGTATATCTGTTTCAGTAACATTTTATCCATTTAGGTTAGAAGTCTTAATATCAGGGCACGGCAATGCAGACCATGAAAAATTATGTTTTATGCCTGCGGCGTCGGCGCATAATCTTTTGCGATTTTATGTTCTATGCAGTTTGAGTTTGTTGTCACATTCTGTCAGCAGGTAGAGTGAGTCATTGGTTTAAATACATGAACTTAGACACAGACAGACACGTGTACACACAAACTTGTCCAAAGAACAGATAAACATCCATTTGATTTGGAAACACCCGCAGATGTGTTATGTAACAGGCAAACTCTGGCAGACCAGGAAGAGAAGTGTTGCAGATCATCCTAAGGTCACGACTGCAGGATTATGTATGAATGAGTCATAGGAAGATTTGGACTGGAGTTACTGTATAGCTGGGTCATATTCATGACATGCACCAGCAAAGTATGAATAAGTCCTCTTTGTATTATATCTACGCTGTGTTTTCCAAAATTCACAGTCGAGACAATGCTGTGGTGTCTAGATGTGAGAATGTAACCTTGGTAGGTCAGGTCCAATTGCATAAACCACACATTTCCTCACAAGAGTGAGTTGTTGGATATTTACCTCGTCATCTGTTTTCACTTTTTCCACACCACTATTGACCTGAGCTGTACTTCTGACCTCGATAAGAAGTAGTGGTTTTATTAGATGTCAGGAAATGTAACATACTATATGTTTAGCATAGTCATCGCCTCAAAAACAGATAAAATAAACATTGCAAAAAGACCAATCTGACCAGAGAGTGATTTATTAGTAAAATTACCCTGTTTACATTTGATACTCGTACATTTTTATTTATTTATTTAGGCCAGAGTGGTGTATACACTTTTATATGGTATAGAGCTGGTTGGACATCCCACAGGAAATTAAAGAGGAGAGAAACAAGAGCAAGTTGAACAGAGAGCGAAACATCAGTATCATAATGCCAGTTATTACCCAGTACTGATAAAGATGCAAATACTGATTTTTGTCAGTATTTATTAATCTTTAATAAATGTTTGATGTTTTGTCTGTAAAATGTCAGAAAAATATGAGAAATTTTTATTTCCCAGAGCTCAAGATGACATCTTCATACTCTTTGTTTTATCCAAACGTCCGTTTTGAGAAGCTTAGGTTTAGAGAACGTTTGGCATTTTTGATGAACTATTAACAGTTATCAAAACCATTTATTTCTTGGCTAATTGATTAACTAATCATTCATATTAGCTATATGGATATAGGTATATGACAATATGGCATGAGTATTAAAAAACATTGTTGGTCTGTTATGCATTACATCAGACAACTCTTCATACATATAAAAACAAAAATCATTATTTTGTTTTGTCTTTCAATCACAAGTTTGCCTGGAATCATTATTTTGTAAAACACTGACACAGTGTGATTACATTGTGAAATTAAACTAAAAGTTGATAAACAATAAGAATGACTCATGCATAAGTTCATAAACCGTACTAAAAATCTGTTTCCTACACAGGATGACTCTGTCCCTAATGGCCTGCGAGCGCTGCCCCTCTTCTATGCCTCCACAATTGGGATAAACACATTCTCCATCATGTACACTGGAGCCCCATGTAAGTGCCGGGTGGAAGTTATTCCTAATAGAAATATTCTCTGTTTATTTAACCTGACACCAATGTATGATCAAAATTATCACCTCAGTCTTAACGGCTGATAGTGCCAATGTTATATGCTTGCTCAAAATTCCTTTTGAAGGTGTGAAAGGAGCATGAGTAGATTATAATGCTTCGAAACTACTTTCAATGTCTTATTTTCTTATACGTGTGTGTGTGTTCATTATTTGCAGTGCTTGGGTTAGAGATGCTACCGGTGTGGTCCATCTTTCTCATCACTTTAGCTGAGTCGCTGATCTGTGCAGCTCTGGTCTGGATATTCGTCTGTCCCTGGATGAGGAGGAAAATAGCAAGTAGGTATCTATGTGCGTATCTCCAGCCTTTCTCACGCCGTCTGAAAGCCCAGCACTCTGACCCAGGCCTAACAACAGAGCCTAAGCCTCTGCTTGCACACTCTGTGCTCTGACACCAAACAAGGGATGCCAGCGGATGTGTTTTCTCATTGGCCTTTGCCAGAGCCACTAAAGCCTCCAAAAAAACCCTGTGAACTCTGTGTAATACTCCAGTTGCTCTGCTTAGACACCTACATTTGTAGGCGCATAGCTCCTTGGCCAGATGCAAGGGGTTAAGATCATAGCCTGCAGTGTAGAAAGCTTTCAGATCAAGCTTAGGAATAGTTTCCCTAATGGTAAAATCAGCCTGCTGCAAAGCAGACAACACTATAAAACACATGACACGTTAAATAAAACAATGGAAAGAGCAGTGGGTGGAATATCTGAGGGAGTAGTAGACATAAGCAAGGCAGCCAGTCTGTTATATCCAACTTAATGTCACGCAGGATTAATAAGAACTTCTGTTCATTGCAGAAATCCAAAGACTAAGCTTCAAACTCATCTGATTTGAGATGCCAGCAATACTTTCAAATTGATGAATCTGATAAATGCTTTGCACTAACATTAAAATTAAGGTTAATGTGAAACAATTTTTACTGTATTTATAGACTTATGTGGTCCAAACAACAGTGCTGTTGTTGAAGCGATAATATCCACATTGAGGCTTAAAATAAGTTTTATTTTCGTGAACTTTCCTTCGAGCGGGGCTGTGCAGGGTGCAGTGTGACCTCTGAATGCCTGTGACGAAGTGATGCGCAGCACTCTGTATTGCCCGGACCTGCTGCTGGGAGCAGCTAGGGAGCTGTCCCAAGTGCTCTTTCTCCCCCGCCCACAATAGTAAGATAAATAAAGAGACAAATTATTACAGTGTTCTGTATTGTTGAATAGCAGCAAAAGAAATAACCCTTCATTACAGACTTGAACTGTCTCTCTCTCAATCACTTGCTTATTCTCTTACACACAAACAAATGTTGCATTCTTCATATATTAACAGTGAATGTTAACTAAATAGTAGCCAACATGTGTACATGTAGACTATCTTTATTTTTAGTTTTTTTAGCCTGTTTTTTTGTTGCGCCTCAAGCACACGGCCAGCTGAGCTGATGGCGCGCTCACTCGATGGGCTTGTTGCTTGAATGCACAGCACCGCTCTAGCCAGCATGGCAAGAAAGAGAAGGTAGAAGGTGGGCTATTGCACACAATGTTTCTGTAAGTTATTAATAACTTACTCAGAACCCTGCTTTGTCACTTTTTGACCCACCTGCCCGAACTCGTGATATTTTGTAGTAAGCTTACCCGAGCGCCGGGCGGGCTCAGCACTACTGTGAGGATTATAGGTGATGATATCGGTCCTAATCTGAATATTACTGCATCCATCAAAATGAAGCAGCCGATGGCTGAGTTTATGTGTTTGTACTGAGGGGGGGGGGGGGGGCACCATGTCTTTCAGCACTGGGATTAGTTTGGATCAGCTGATGACTGTATTTGTGGATTGCTGCATAGTTGTCTGTTTTTCTGACCTAAAACCAGCTTCTTCTAATTGATGATTGATGATTTTTGATATTAGTGCAGAGTAGTGACAGTTTCAACAAAAACATGCATGAAAAATATACTGAAAGAGAATAATCTGTGTGCCAAATTAGGCATTCACTTGTGAAACTCCTGTCTGGATTTCCTATGCTTGCCATAATTGGAAATTATCCAGATAGCTTTTCAGTAAAACCTCTTTTCTTTTCTGACAGTGTTTTCTACCAGTATTTCGTTTCATTTTCAAACTGGAAATTATCCCTTAGACATATTAGTATGTAATGTAAATACAGTTGTGGTATTTTCCTCATTAGTATACACAGCCCAGGAAACACTGTTCATATTGTTAAGAGGATTAAAGATTTTATCTGGTTGTGATATTTTGTCTTTCCAGGATGTTGTCTTATCTAAACCTTCCATTACTTGATCTCTTCCAGGTCGTCTAAAGAAGGAGCAGGCTCTGTCAAGAATCTCTGATGAGAGCCTGGACAAGATACCTGAAGAGGAGGAGGAGAGCCCCGTCTTTAAGGAGCTACCAGGGGCCAAAGGAACAGATGAGGCTGTGTTGCCGCTCACCGGGGGCAGCAGTGAACGGGGCACCCGCGACTCCAGTGGAGAGCTCGCTAACCTGGCTAATGGAGGCTCTGTCCTGCCTAACGGCAGGGTATATGGTAAAACTGGAATATAATTTTTGATTAGCTATTCTAGAGTCTTGTTCTGTCTCTGATAAATATACCTTTTTAATCGTATGTATATTTAGAGTAAAAAATGTATATATGCTGTTATTGCTTACTACTTAGCAACTGTTCCACATCCACTTTAATTCCTCCCCCTCAGGCCGGACCCACTCAATGACCAATGGCAGCCTTAAGTCACCCATCGCAAATGGCAGCTTCAGCTTCGATGGCCACATGCGCAGCGATGGACAAGTGTACCACACAGTGCACAAGGACTCAGGTCTCTATAAAGACCTGCTTCATAAAATCCACCTGGGCCGCATGGATGACGACCGCTCAGGGTCAAACGCCGGCCCGGCTGACAACAATTACCGCTTGCTGCGCCGCAACAACAGCTACACCTGCTACACAGCCGCTATATGCGGCATGCCCGTCCAGCCGCTCATTCGCACAGAGTCACGTGAGGACAGTGAAAAGTTGGTAGGGGAGGGAGGCGGCAGGAGCAACAGCGTGTCCTATTCCAAAAAGAGGGTACGTTATGATAGCTACTCATCGTACTGTAACGCTGTGGCTGAGGCTGAGATCGAGGCAGAGGAGGGTGGGGTGGAGATGAAGCTCGCTACGGAGCTGGAGGGAGTGGAGGAAGGGGCTCCAGCCCCAGTGCCTCTGGACGACTTGGCCGAGGAGGATCATGAGGAAAAGGATAAGCCTGAGGTGTTCCTGCTTTTCCACTTCCTGCAGATCCTCACTGCCTGCTTTGGCTCCTTCGCCCATGGAGGCAACGATGTCAGGTGCCGCCTTCTGCTGCTTACAACATCTCATGTAGCCAATTCATTTGTCAAATTACATTTCTCTCGTACCCGATTGTAAATTTTGTTGTTCTTGAAGCTTTTTCCCCTATTACATTGCATACAAGTAATGTTTCTGTAACAACAAACAAAACAAATTACTCTGAACCCTCTGAACCTTGATGTTTAGTCTAGCATTAATTCTAGAAGAGATGCCTGAGGTTATAATCTATTTTCTCACTTATGCAGTAATGCCATTGGGCCCCTGGTGGCACTGTGGATGATCTATGAGCAGGGCGGTGTGATGCAGGACGCTGCCACTCCCGTCTGGCTGCTGTTTTACGGTGGCGTAGGCATCTGCTGTGGCCTGTGGGTGTGGGGCCGCCGCGTCATCCAGACCATGGGGAAAGACCTGACTCCCATCACCCCCTCAAGGTGAGAAAGCCACTGCATGGGAGAGTGGGCTGAAGGATATTTTTGTGTGTGTGTGTGTGTGTGTGTGAGAGAGAATATATGGAAAGGGATGAGAAGGAACCATTTGGGGAGAGAGAGGTGAACTTTACAACATGCTTGGTTTCTCAAGCCACAAGTTCGCCCGGTGCAACAGCTTCCTTGGTAAGTGCACACAGCTGTATTAGAATGCACACACATAACTTAATAAAGTTGATAAATGTTATTGGGAAATGTAATTGTAACTCAACTGACCATAAAATGCATAAAACTAAAGCAGAATAATCACAGTTAAGAGTGCATGCTCTGTTGTCTCCAATGCTCCCTGCTCACAAATACAGTAAACTTTTCTGACTAATCAAGGGTGTTGCACTGATTAACCATTTTTCTACTTCCCAAACAGAGCTGCTGCTGTATTCCAAAGCTAGTTTTTAGTACATAAGTACATAGCTGTATTTCCTTTTTCTATGTTGGTTGCATGTGTTAAATCATATTTGTGAATAATTATTATATTTCTCATCAAGAGGACAGACTGAACGTAATGTCAGTACTTAAATATAAAGATTTGAATACATTTTATTAAGCTTAAGAACACGTGATGAATATATCATGATCTCAGTATTGTGCAACATAATTATACATTCTGGCAGTAATCACACAATCCTTGAACTAAAACTTTGCTGAAGTAGGAATGATGCACTCTATATTTTTCGTCTGCCCTTTAACTTATTACATAATAATTATGAATAAATAAGTAGTCTTTTGGACCACAACACATGAAGCCCAAGGGCTTACTTCATCCCACAACCTAAGCAGCGGACATCATGCATCCTTAAACATTAATTGCTGCTCCTTTGTCCTTGAGATCAATCCCCCCCCCCTTTCTCTTTCTCTTGCCGTCCTCTCGTCTTCCCACGCATTAGCTGAAGTGTGTGTGTGTGTGTGTATGTGTACCTCATGGTTTGTGTGGATCGTGTCAGCTTAAAGAAGCCAGGCTCTATGCCTGCAGGTCGCTGTGTGGTGAATGTACTATATGTGTGCGTGCATGCATTTTAAGGTCTAATTCTTCCAGTAATTTGTGTGTGTGTGTGTGCTGTTGCCTGGCAGAAACATCACACAGGGTTTCAGGAAGTTGTTTGGCATTCTGGATGAAGAATGAAGAGCAGGAAGGGTGAGGGAGGGGCAAAGCCACAGTGGGAATCCTGGCATCTCTTCTCCAACCGCAGGGAGAGACGCCAGTCTGACTCCTTCTCTTGCACTTTTCTTTTTCCCTGTTTTTTTTTTTTATATTTCTTCATACTCTCTCCTGTAAATCTGTTTATGCGGTTAATCCTCCTCTTCTTTTTGTCCTCACTATATCCTTCTTTGTTCCTTTCCATCTTCGTCTCCTCACTGCATCTTTTTGACTTGTTTTTGTTATTGGCTTCTCATCTCTAAAGCTTTCTCTCTTCCTTAAGTCTAGCTCACTCCATGTAATTATTATCCCATCTTTCTTCTTCCTCTTTTTTTAGTCTCTCCCCCACCCCCCCACCCCATCACTAGCTTAGTTTGTTGCCAGGGCTCAAAGACAAATTTGCTCCGGTGCACTGTTCTAATGGCTCTCTTCCCTCCAGTGTCCATACATCAATCTGACAAAGAAGTTTGTTTGGGGCAGGGACAGAGGTGTGTGTGTGTGGGGGGGGGGCATATAGTTAAGTAGGCACAGTGAACAGTGCAGTGAACACAGAAGTAAAAATGTGATTTTCCTCATTCTGACCGGCTCTGCTGTTGAACCCCTGCAGGGTTCAAGACATTTTGGACATGTCACAGTAGGGGAAGCACAGGTGTGAATGATAAAATTTATTAATTTTGTCAAAACCAAAATTAATGATGGCTGAATTCAATTAATCTGCTTCAGTTTCAGGTTTCCTGGTATTGTGCATGCTGGCTCACGGTTCACAGCTTACACCTGAATAGATCAGAGCTGTCATTAATGTTATTAGTAACCTGTGCTTTTCCTACAATGACAAGTCAAAATGTCAGCTGTGAAAATGTTGGAAAATCAAGAGCTATACTGAAAACAGAGCAGGTATCGCAGCTCTATGAAATGACATGCAACAAAGGTCCCGGACTTGATCTTGCAATGGCATGGTCAGCATGTTAAACCCCTAAGCCACCAGCACATCCCACACCTACGCAGGCTTAAATATTTCTACACACACAGTTGGAGCAAGTTCCCATTTACAGATGGGATCAAGTTGTGTTCAAGATTGGCCCAAGTCAAATCATTAGAACGCTGCTGTGAAAGAGATTGACCCTTGCTGTTTGTGAATGCCACAACAGCCACTGGAGTGAAAGTGCTGTTTCACTTTGACAAATTAAATGTCAACAGTCTGTCCCCAGAGCCTTACCTCAGTGTTGCTGAGTTTTATTGGCTGCTATTTGTTTTTCTAGGACGTAACTTCAAGATGCTTTCTCACTCATCTTCTTTTTCTTTTCGTCTCTTGCTCTGTTTTTATAACTTATTTCCATTCCTAAGTTTGCCAGTTGCCTCTGTAGTTGGGGAGCAGTAGATTTTTTTTATTTTTTTTTTTTTTTAAAAAGGAAAAGATTCTCTCTTCCAGTGTCCAAATGTGAATGATGTTCTGGATACAGGACATGGCGTCAGACGAAGTGTATCCTAGTCAGCGCAAGGCAATACAAGAACACTCAGTCCAAATGCTGTCTTTAGTGTGTGTGTGTGTGTGATTACCCTATTTTTCCCCTTTTGTGTGTGTTGAGCACTCTTCAAAGAGCTGTTGAACGTTCTGTTGTTAATGTGGATGCTGGAATATGGTCAGAGCATGCCATCAGCAGCAGGTCCAAGACGTTACAATGAAGGATGTCTCTTTGCTTCCCCCCTCCTCTCCCCTCCCTCCTCCACAGTGGATTCACTATTGAACTGGCTTCTGCACTCACAGTCGTGTTGGCTTCCAATATCGGAATCCCTGTCAGTACCACACACTGCAAGGTATGACTGAGCGGCCCTCTGGCTGGCCTCTGAAATCACCTCCAGGCATTTCCAGGGGATAGGACACTCACACTGCTTCCCAGGGCACCGGGCTGGAAATACACACACCAACACACACCCCTTTAGTCCAAATTTCCTTTGTTTTTCTGACCATATTTTTGCCAAGCAGTCTGTCCGTCTCTTGGTTGTGTTTACTAGGATGCCCTGATAAAATGTATTGCTTCAGAGACGACAAAGCATTCAAGTTTATTACAACTTGGGTCTTATTTATTAGTTTTGGCCATCGTTTGTATCGGTTATGATAACATTGTACAAGCTAAAGTAACTGCTGAGATCTGGGAACATTGCATGACATTGCTACAAACAAAGTTGTAAACAAAGCCAAACTTGGCAAGAAACAGCAGTCTTGTGATCAGGCAGGTTGTTAAACAAGCAAGGGAGGAATTTCCACTGGGGATGGGAGGAGCATGTCTCCCTTACTTTTTAAAATACTATTTTTGTCCCCTACTTTTACAATTTCCTCACTATAATCTCTCTGAACCGTGTCCTTTGACTGTCCAGCTGCCAAACTACAGAGCAAGCAAGGTGCTGGTTAAAAATGTTCACACACTAATCCGAGCTGCCCTTCATTTTTACTGAGCGCTCACAGCAGTGGGCTTTACGACCAGCGGCGGTTGATTTGGGTTTGTTTTTGCCTCCCAGGCAACACACAACTTGTCCTGCCTTACTACTAGAGGTTGGATATGCCTGTAAGGAAAATCTGCAGGCACAACTCAGGGCTGGGAAAAAAAAGTACCTCTTGTGCTTATTTTCAAATAAAAAATAATTTAATATATGCTTTTCATTATAGTTATATGATTATTAGGTTATCCTAAAACATGCTACAATGGAGTATCACAGACATTATGCATCATTATGTATCTGGTCTCTATGAAGGAAACTGAGCATGATTTTAAGTAGGGTTGATGCATTCATATTGATAAAGAAATGTATTGGACTTCATTGTGCAATGTCTGTTTTTCCAGATTATTAGCGATTGACTTGGTGAGTACAATAGCATCACAATCAGGAACGGTTGCCAAAACTATGACAATAAGACCCAAATTGTCATAATCCTTTTCTCTCCATTAAAAGGCAATCAAATGATCTAAGCTGTGTCCAGCCCGCTGCTGATAGCCCCAGGCAGCAGTGTGCAGCCCCTCTCCCCTGTCTTTTTTCAGGAACATCGGACCCAGGCTGGAAGACGTAGCGGACCACTCCAGCCCCAACACTGTCCTGCTCCCTCCCTGTCAACGTGTTGTCTCATCCTCTGTTCCATTTCCACCAACTCTTCCATTTTGCCCGTTAAGCACTGGCATGGTTTGACGTATAGGGTCCTTCACCCTCCCGTGCTTGGCTGCAAGCAGACCCCCCACCACCAGCCTCTTCCCGAGCCCACTTGTCACACTTGTTTTCCCTCTCCATCTTTCTCTGTCTCTCTCCACTCATCTGTCTTCACAGCGGATTTTGCATTGAAGTAATGAGTGCGCTAACAGTGCTTGTTGCATCAAATGTGGGCATCCCAATAAGCTCCACCCACTGCAAGGTATTGGAGTCATTTGGTAGTGAAGCTGTGAATAGAGAGCCCTCTCAGTGCTCCACTTCGTTGCTTCACCAGTAGCTGTCAATCGCCAAAATCAATCACAACTCCTGAAAGTTGCTGTTTTGACCTCTGCTGCAGTTTTCTTCCGGCACAAAACCCTCCACGTTTGTCTTTTTAAGAGGTGTATGAAAAATGTGATGAAATTCGATGCAATTTAGAGACTAACGTGATCCAATGTTTTATCTGATGGTTTCAGTTATTTTACTTATGCTTTTGATCTACTTCCTCACATTGTCTTTTATTAATTGGATTGGAAGCATCACATTTTTGTATAGTCGTATTCATTTTTTTGATGGACTGGCATTTAGATTATAGAAAGGTCAAACTTGTGTTTGCGTTCCTGTAACGTGAGGAAAGATATTTGAAGGAATAGTTGTGAGATTTTGGGAAATAAGCTTCCTGGCGGAGTGTTAGATGAAAAGATTGATACCACTCTGATGTCAGTCAGCCAGGAGCCGGTTAGCGTAGCTTAGCACAAACACTGAAAATGGGGAAATGTCTTTAGTTTAAATAGGTAGCCTGTATTGATAAAGTGTAACACATGCATCTTATTGAGCATGTCGTCAATAATTATAACGAGCAATAAGATTACTTATAGATTACGATAAGATACTGTACTGTATAAGAACTGCATCTATGAAAACATTAAAGATTTAGATAAATACTTCTGAAGGGTCTGTCTGCTGAAGGGAAACTGCGCAGGACTCAAAACTGGTATTTTAATTTCTGGTGATCAATTTGTCTAAACATCAGCATCTACATCCATTTTCATTTCTCACCTCCGAATACCCCCGTCTCTTCCCATAAAACCTCAGCTAATCAACTGCTATGCCAAAATGCTAAATCTACTGATGGTTAGAGGTAAATAATTGTGGTGGTGAATGTATTGATTGTGTCCGGGGATCCACAGATATTGTTGCAGGAAATCGGTGTTTTAAAGATATTTATGAACTAGTAATAGTTTTTCACTATAAGGCATTTTTCCCTCAATTTAAGGATTGTTAAAAGTCACACTTAAGGTTTCAGAATAAATGGCCAACAACATCTGAACATCCCCGAGATGGCTGTGACACAGAATGTGTGAACAGTGATGGGCATCCACTGGTTTTGATCTGACTCTAGTCTGTCTGATTTTCTTTGTGTGTTTGGCTTCTTAACTCATGTGCAGATAAAACTGAATGATGCCCAGTCCTGGTGTGTGTGAAGTGCTGTGGTGTGATTATGTACAATGACTCGTTTCAAAAGCTCGGAAGGCAGTCAGCAACACAAACACTGGAGGCAAACTTGAGTTCAGGCTTTGCTGCTGTGTGCCTGAAATACTCACATCAGCTGTAAATGGACATCTTGACCACAAGGCTATAGGTAGATATAGTTCCACACACAGGCTTTTGAAAGACTGCTTTAAATATAATGCTAATTATCTGAATGAAAAAGAATCTAAGTAAATTTCGGAGAAGACTATGTTGATTTTTGATTTTTACGTAGTCTAGCACTAGTGTAATTTAGGGTAAGACAGGCCAATCTAGCACAAACAAGATTGGTCTCTGTTGACCTGACTTTCCACATTTAGTCGTTGAGTGTGACAGAACGGGTCTCGTGGTTTCTCTGGCTGTAAATAAGCAAGGCCCACCTGCAGCATCACAAACCAGTCACTGCACATGCCACTCCAACACACTTAGGTGTCTGAAATGTGTTTGTGTCTTCTCCAAAATGAATTCCTATTCAGTGCTGTTCCGATGTGATTACTTTATTAAAGACGAGAGAAAAGTTCACCGGTGGACGTCTGAATTTGGCAGAAATAATTTCATTAGCTAAGGAAAAAAAACTACGCTTTTAAAATTTGCTTCTTTTTATATATATATATATATATATATATATATATATATATATATATATATATATATATATATATATATATATATATATATATAATTTTATTTTTTATTTAATTGATTTTTTTTTAACTGCTGATTTCAGACTTCCACCCCCCAAAATGTAATTTTGGTATTAGTAACTTTTACAATGGGCTTGCTCTAACTAACAGACATTTTTGGACTGAGCTGGTATTGAAGAGCTGAAGGCTGTTTACAGGCTAATGTTTTGTCCACTCTCAACTGCTTTCAGTGGTGGACTGTAATTACATTTACTTTACTTGAATAGAATTTTGAACATCCCTGTTTCTGCTCCTTAAAGATTTATACTCCATTTTAGAGGGAAATATACATTTTGCTCCACTGCTTTTATCTTTTATCATTTTTTATATATATATATATGAAAGCCTGAACAACCTGCAGCTTTTCACAGCGTTTTTAACTTTGTAACATTTCATTTCTGTGCTGCTGCTGATTGCGGTCTTTCTTCCCTCCTGGCTGCGGCCTCCAGGTGGGCTCAGTCGTGGCCGTGGGTTGGATCCGCTCCCAGAAAGCAGTGGACTGGCGCCTCTTCAGGAACATCTTCCTGGCGTGGTTTGTCACAGTGCCCGTGGCTGGCCTGTTCAGCGCCGCCATCATGGCCCTGTTCGTCTACGGCATCCTGCCCTTCGTCTGAGGGCGCTCGGCATGGAGGGAGAACAGGGGAGGACGAGAGAGAGAGAGAGAGGGAAACTTGGGTAAAAATCATAGTGTCGGTGTTGCAGATAAAGGAGGAGGAATTGAAGAGAAGCAAAGGGCAAGGGTGACGGGGAAGAGAGGGAGGAAGAGGCAGAGTTTTACAGATGGACTTGGTTGTACTGTGGATGTGAGGAGGGTTGGTTCATATGCTGCCTGGTCCAGATCTTTTTGACTCATTTAAGTTTCTGAATTTAAGTTTTTTTTTTATTTATTCTCATTTTGGGTGCAAAAGAAAGTGTGTAACAAACATGTCCACCGTACCATTCAATCTACTGTACATATGACAATAATCTGGAGTTTTCCAGTAATTTTTAACATGAATTATGATTGTTGGAGAAACGGCAGCAGTCATTTCATTTTAAAAAAAAAGAATAAAAAAAAAAGACTGCCCATGACTTAAAGTAATCAAATGATTAATTCTGCAGGCATAAATTGACAAACAGGCCTGTAGTAAAACTATATCATTCTGCCTGCTATCCCAGGTAGTGTAGTCGGTCAAGTGCTTATTATTATTGTTCTAAAATGCCAGAAAAAAAATGTACATATTGTTATATTGGATTGAGTGTGACTTGTTGTATTGCGGCTTGCTTTAAAGTTTTTTTTTTTTGTTTTGTTTTTTTTAAAGATGAAAGCCAACCCATCCATCACCCCCCACCCCCTCCCCCCCTTAACATGCTACATGTACAACTAGGGCCAAATGGAAAGGACGGCTTAGAGAGGGGTAGTGGGACTGTCGCTCTGCTTTTTTATTTTCCACATGATACCATAGAAACCTGATTTGCTAAAGAGTTGATTTTTGTCCAGAGCTCCTGTATGTTTATAGAGATGGATCTCATATTTTTTAATGATGTATTATACTGTAATTTGTACTGTAAATACTGTCCTGAAAGAGTTTGGGAGGGCGGGAAAGGGATTCACGACTTGTTTTTAATGCCATAAGTGGGGAGAGGTGGGCTCTTCACCTCCTCATGATGTCATATTATAGAGTATGTTTCATCCCAGAGGCTTATAGTGGAGTGCAAACACACTTAATGAACACACATGAAAGCTGCTGTTTTTCAGAGGTTGGTAGGAGTATAATAATTGGAAAACAGTATATTAATTTAAATTAATTAACCTGTTCACAACAGAGAAAACTGGAGATATTCAATTCCTTCTGGTTTTATCTTATCAGTATACAGTATTGGTAGAAAGGTCAAGGTCTCCTCCTTGAGAAAATACTTAGGTGAGTTTCAGATGGTGATATTCGAGGGAGAGCATTTCTAGTAGAATGAGGTTTGGGTGCAGCAGAAGCCAAAACACTGAAACTGAACACAGACAAAACCACACTACAGTTCCATAAAATGTTCACATAATCTTCATCCGTATGCCTTCTTGTTTTCATACACAAAGCTCAGTTACTGGAGTCATTTCCTCATATTGAAGGCTCCCTGCCAATGATTGACCTCTACACTGTCCATGGGTCATTTCAGATCTCCCTCCTGTCTCATATCACTCATGTGACAAATCTGAGGTATGGCTCTCAAGATGCCTCTAAACATTAAAAGCCTTGTCACATCAAATTCTATGTCATGTCAAACACTAACTCTTGTATTATATCTCAGTCAGTTATGCAGAAGTGGAAAGAAGGGGGATTCAACCCCGAGCCACACGTGTAGCTCCTCAAGCCTGGTGGTGTTTGAAGTGTAGAAGTATTTAGTCTATTGATCACCTGTGTTTCAATCGAAGTGCTAAAGGTTAGGTAGATATCGCAGGGTCAAGTTTAGGGCTGAATCGAAGCCCAGCGGGGGTTTTGAGGCCACTCATCTCATGAAAATATCAAGACTTTTGTCTTAGGATCGTTATGTTTGAATGAGATGGTGGAGGGGGGGGGGTAGTACTGATCATCACCAGCTTTTTAACAGGGTCACCTGACTTGTAGATGAACAAAGTCTAAAGCTTTTTTTTTTTGTTTTTTGAACAAACTCGAAGCCAGGTGTTGCAAGTTCTTTTCGTTCTTGTGGTGTTTCCTTATTTCATTTTTATTTCTCATGAACAAATCTATGCTTAAGTAGCCACTTGCCTTGTAACATTGTGTTTTACTTTTGTGAAGATACAGTAAAATTATTAAGTACTGTGGTGTTTACATTGTAACCATATCGTAGAATATCTGAAGAAAAAAAACTGTTGCCTAATGATGCCAATGAAAGACACTATTAACCAAGATTTTTTAAGTGCAAGTAAAAAAAATAATAACCAGAAGTGTCTAGAGAAAGAGAGCGAGAGCCAGCGTGCGCAATGACTCATTTGTTTTGTTTTGTTTGTTTTTGGTGTAGTAATAGGGGTAGTGCTAATCATGTCCCTGTCACTTTACACTGCTACTACAATGAGTTAACAGTACATGTATGGGTGCAATTCAGTAATGAAGAGAATGACTAGAGAAATTTCATCAAGACTATATATTTTTCTACCATATCTGAGTTATAACCTGGGCAAGCTTCCAGACACTTTGGAGGACACACTGATGGGAATATGGAAAACAGGGACTAGTTGTTATAAGATCAGTGACACTGAGATATGGTCTTATCGCAGGGTTTCTCACTTCGCTGGTGCCATGCGCCACCCTTCCTCTAAGCCCAGTGTGTTCTTGTAACATGTAGACTGATGTGTCGGGTTGCCAATAGATCAGATTTTGAAATTTACCATTTTTATTTTTGAATTTTAGATGAAAACGCTTTGTAATTTTGTTTCCCTACTGCTTTGATCATGAGCTGTGAGAGCAGGACAGCATCTTGCTAAAACCAGGACGACCGCTTACTAAAGGCGAAATCTAGAAGCAAAATCTCTAGTTGAGAAACTTAAATCTTAAACTTGGTGTCTGATAACTGGACTGTGAGGACATTTGTTTCCTTGTTTTGGCAGGTAACCACTCTTGAAGCTCATACCTTTTTTACTCTTCCACAGACTGTGTGTTACTCAAGGGGGGGCTGCACAGAGCTGGTGTGTTGAAATTCTGTTTGTACTCTTGTGCAGTACAGGTGCCAGGAGGAAGTACATTTTTAAACTGAAATCTCATGAGGCACAAGAGTTCTGACAGTATATGTTCAAAAAAAAAGTGTTCTGAACTGAGCAAGCGTTTGTTTTATTGCTTATGAACTCAGCTTTTCCTTTGGAAAATACTTTGTTACTTTCAGAGGTTACATAGTCTTGCTTTAATGGGTGACTTTTCATTGCTTGAAGGTAAACCCAGTCCACGCCTCTCGAACAGAAATCACTAAACTTAAAAGGGTGCAGAGTCTCATACTAACTAGATGGAAAGCGTCACTCAAACATCAACACTCAATTTACAGTAGCAGACACACAAAGATGCACATTTTGTCATATTGTATAGAGCAACAAGCTAACTGAACTTCCAGGTTAGCTTCTTTTCCACTAGCCTTCAGTTCTCAATGTATTGTGCCATAGAGGGATTTTCATTCTTCAAAAAAGCTTATATCTATTTTGTTCACATTCTAAAATAAATTGGGTAGGATTAGGAAGACACTACCATTTGAGCACCTTGTCATTTATCCAAGATAAAACAATTATTTTGTTAGCATGTAGCAACTAGTGCTACCATGAGTCTTGGCTGCTGTTAAATGCCAACAAAATATTTATATATTCATATTTTAAATAATAAAATGTATTCATATATTACTGTCTAGAACTCAATAGTAACCCATATTATTTAAGTTTTTAGAGGACTGATGAAAGACTATTGTCTGGCCGCAGCTGATGGACATTTGTTGCTCTTGTGTGCAATTAGTAAACAATGAAATTGAACTGAATCCACTTCCCTAACATTAGATTATGAGGTTTATTTGTAAATGGTCTGAGGTCAGCCAGCACACTTCAGAGATCTGGTTTGTGCTGTAGCACCATGCTCTGCAAGGCCTTCCTTTGTAACGCACGAGGTCACTTTTTTTGTTTTGTTCCATTCATTCTCAGCTCTGATAGGCCAAAAGAGATGCACTGCTCAAGATAGGGAGGGGAAGTGAAAATCATGCTCTGGTGCACGATAGCTCAACTCAACAACTAATGCTACATGATGAATATTACAGAAATATCTCATGGGGGGGGGGGGCGCAAAACTAACTTTGGCAGAAGAATTGTGTTTAAGGACACAATCATTTACAGTAAGGAGCTGATTGTCAAGAGTCAGACATTGAGTTTAATTACATTATCAATTATCAGCTAAACTTTTTAGATACATTTTTAGTTCAGATTGTATCCTGAGAGCCAATGATTGTCTGTAAAATTTGTGACAATCTTTTAAACTCATCGGTTAGGTGGGACTAGCTAAGCCACTAGATGAAGTCTTGACACTTTCCCTCCCCCGTAGAGAGGAACAGCATTTTAGACCGGTCCATTTCAACTGATTGGTATAAATCAATAAATGGTGTAATTGCCATTGAGGGAGTCACTGTGCTTCTATTGCATTATAAATGTTCTGTAACCTTTTTTTTTTGGTCGAGAAAATCTAGAGGAACGATGTGCCATTTCTCTCTCCCTGAATGTGCAATATAAACGGTTTCTTGTGAGGGTGCAACTACATTACTGTCACTGTGTGGTCGTGTAGCTCCATCTGCCCTGGTGTAATAGCGCCCTCTCCTGTTTGTACGGAACTAGCATTGCCTCATAGAGGTGGAGGGGGCATCAGTTCAGACCTTCATCTGGATGTGGCGTGCTGTCTCTAGTTTTCTGGTCTGTTTTGTAATAGAATGTGCTCCTTGGCTGGCCTGCAGGCTTTACAGCTCTGTGTTGTCTTTTTACTGTTAACTGCTATTTAACTGTCCGGTCCTTCAAGAGTTTCAAAAAAATAATAATAAAGTAACGAATAAAAAAATCAAAGAAACTGTAGCCTGCTTCTACAAAATCTTAAAGCTCTTCTGATTTGCATATATTGTACTGTAATGTTTTAAGATTTTAGTGAAAAAATGTCTGCATTTAAACTAAATTGTGGGAATAAAAATTACAAAGAATACCTAACTTCCACAGAGTTGTGTGCCTTATTTTTGGAAAGTTGTGTGTGTGTGTGTGTGTTGAAGGCATGATTCTTACTGACTTTAGTGGGGGGGAAATTCTTTATTATTACATCCTTAAACATTTACACTGTACAGGTGCAGCAAGGTGATAAAGTTTAGGCTTTTGACTCATACGATATATATTGTATGTACCCATTTCAGATATATGGGATGAAGTTAATTTATGTGTATGCTGTACAATTTGACAAAAACTACTACTTTTTTATTGTTTTACACGTAAGACGGGCTTTTCGAACTTCTTGGGGATCATTCCCATATTTTACAGGCTACAAGGCAAATGTTAAGGCAGTGAAGCTATTTAGATGTTGGAGTCCCTGAAAACTTTTCATATCACAAGTATTTCTCTATAACATTAAAAATTCATGACAACTGAAATTTAAATTTAATGACATTGGTTAGTAATAGTTGAAGTTTAATACAAAAACTGGACTTTGTTAGAGCGTTTTCATCAACATGATTATTAGTAACTTTGTTGTTTGTTTTGTAACTGTATATCTACACTATATGGTTGCCCCCTAAAACATTTAATGTTGTGGTTGTGTCTCTGCTCATTTCCCCCCCACTTTGCATGCATTTGGTTTCCTAGAGCAACCGGCCTCTTTAAAGACTGAATTAATCTGCCATGTCTTTTCAGGCTGCTGTTATTCAAGGTTTCGAGCTCCGATAATAATTCAGTGACTTGGCACTTATTGCACTTTTAAGTTCCCAGCACTTTGGCCGTCTGTGCTAGGCTTAATTTAAGACATCTCTACAGTAATGCTGAAAAATGCTGGTTTGAGGCTGGCACACAGCAAGTGACACCATTTAAATGGGATAATGGTTTCCATTTCATGTTGGTTAAATCAGTAATCAACCGATGGAACCGATAAACTCCCTGCAGTCAGGGGGGTTTGCAGTGACTCGGAGAACAGGGACATTTGTTCATGGTATAGTGACTCAGCCTCACTTAAATTAATGAATATTTTAAACAGGAAAAAAACTTATATTGTCAATCCAAGTAATGAATTGAATAGTTTTATTTTAAACATTTGGTGTAAATTGTAGTGTGTTGCAAATGTAATTATATCCCTTGTCTTTTTGAGTGACATTCACAACCACTTAAATCAGATTTTTATCTGAACCACTTCCTTTAGCAAGCCTGTGTGTTGCTGGCAGCGGGTTCTTGAGTTAAAAGCTATCCATCCAGATGTCGGATGTCTTTTTTGGCATACTCTGTAAAGACTGAAAATCAAATCTGTGAGATTTCGGCACGTTTTAAAAGACCAGCTGCAATTAAATTGCAACTTTTTTTTTCTGCTGCAGAGTATACACATCTGCTGTGTAAATCAGACTCTGTCCTCTCCTTTGAGAAAAACAATAGCAAGAAGAAATTTTATGTTTTGTAGTTTCATGGTTGCACCCCCTCTTTGCATTTATTTGGACTGCCATTAGTTATTATTATTACTACATGGAAGTAGTGTTTGGGATCCAGCCAATCAAATAGTTTCACCTTTATTAAGTATGGAATATCTTTTTAATATCTTTTTAAGTCAGTGCTGAGTATTTTGACCATGGCCTGTTCTTTTAAGTCAATTTAACAACAATTAGTCTCGTTATGCTTTTCATTATCCTCCAACAAATATGTCTTGACACTCTCCCCCTGATTTATGGGATTACTGTTTTTATATTTGGACTTAACGCTTCTTAAAGACACTACTCAAGCCCTGGCAGGATCACCAAAACGTGTTCCAAAAAGTCATCAATAACCCCCATGTTTAATTTGAAACTTTAATTTCATTGTGCAACTTTGTGTTATAGAATAAAGTAAGCTACCTTGAACCCTGGACTTGCTCTAAAACCAACATAAGTTTTGTAATTCCAGGCATATTATGGATGTTGTCCTTTGATGTTAGAGATTCGTAGGCCCTACATGGCCTGTTTTAAATTAAACAACTACATAAAAATGGACGACTCACTGTTTGGACGACAGTAAGGGTCTTCTTGAGCTGCGTGTTCCCCGGCGTTTACCACTCCGGGGCTCCAGGTGGCGCTGCACAGTCACTACATAGCGCCGCTTTAGCTTCGACGCTAATGTTGCGATGGTGGTTAGCAGGACGTCGCTCATACGCTTCGCAGAGACTGTGTTTGAAAACAAACCTGTTAGCTGGCCGAATATATATATGTGAAATATATATATATATATATATATATATATGTCTGTTATTGTACAGTTCTGTAAATTCAACAACACAAGCAGATTACAGAGTAGTGCTGTCGATATTTCAGTTCAAGCAGCGGTCAACACATCGGCTACCAGCACCCTCGAAGGTCAAAGGTCATCATCATGGTTTATACATACATGGGCGGCGAGTTCAGTGTCAAAACGTTTTTCACTGGTTTGCAACGTTTTCGGATTGAACGACGTTTCCTCGCAACGTTCTGCAACCATGCTTCGAGGTGTGTTTTGTCCCGTTTGGTGGGCGTGTCACAGGTGTTACCCAATCAGCTGCGACAAGTATGTAAACACAACGGTGCAGGAAAATGCAGTGCGCTTGCGAACACAACAGGGTGTTCAAGGCACCACCGTTTCTGTTGATTAAAAAAAACATTTTGCTACGTTTAGTCGCCGCTGAACTTGCCTCGGGTGTTTGTCGTTTGTCGTTTGTCCACCCAATTATCAATGAGGGTAGGCTGAATAACAAACACCTCTGTAAACTTATGATGAAAGTGGCTACTGTATAATAACAAGAAACAGATATGTAAACCTCTGCTGTATCTTTACTGCAAAGAGCCCCGATGTTCAATTGTACTGTCTTTTTAGCATAATATTAATTGTAACCAAAAAAATTATTAAATGTGTTTAAACCTGAAAAACATGCAGAGGTAGTATTTTTTTTTCCCAGGAGTAAAAACACAAACCAGAGAGCAGGATTGGGTTAGTTTGTTTCCATCCAAAACATTTTTATTGTCCTCCAAACTGAAAGGTTTACCCTGTGATTTGGCTTGTTCGCTGAGCCAAAAACATACATTGCATTTCTTCAGGTAGCAGTGGAGGCATACAAAGATCTTTTTTTGACTGAGAGAAAGTAATTGAAAGAGCGATACAGGATTCTCTCCTTCAAGTCACATGATAAGTAATCTTTGCATTCATGAGTAATGGAGAGAAGATTAATTTTAGATCACGGGAAACTTGAGAAAGTAGCTTCTGGTCTTCTGTAAAATAGAGAGAGAGGGAAAAAAAACAGACAAACAACCGTATGTGTTTCTTCCATATTAGAAAAGGCCTGAAAATGGTCACGCTGAAGAGACTGTTTCATCTCTGTCTGCCTCCGGGTTGTGTAACGCCTTTTATGTAGAGCATCTGTAGTGTACACAAATGGACACTGGATATGCAATTTAAAACCAAAGTGCCCACAGTCGATATAAAGCAAGGTCACATGACCCAAAACAGGTGATGTCACATAAGGGGGAGGGGTTGAGACTGGACATGAACGTAACCAAATGCGGCCATATCTGTCTGTGTGTGTGTGTGAGTGTGTGTCTGTGTGTGTGTGAGTGTGTGTGGTGCAGAAGATGCCAGAGATGTGGCACTCAGCACCCTTAATTTACAGTTACTCAGAGAAACACCTCCCCATATAGTGACTGTGCAGTTAAAAATGGGCACATGGTGATTTAAGCTCATGCTTAAGTTGTGGTAAACCATCCAAGCACTTCTTTAATTAATAACTATAAATACACAGCAGCGTTTTTATCCGAGAGGTTTCCGTCTGCCTCCTCTCCCTGGGTGAGTGTGTGACGTGTTTGTCTCTTAAACGGCTAACTACGCTTTGCTCATCTGCTAGAGGAAACACGGGTTATGTGGAATTGATTATCAACTTTCATATATTTTTCTATAATATATTTATATAGTTATTTTTCTCTTTCTTTCACGCACCCACCACACTTGCTTGCTTTCACATTCTCTCGTCTCACTACTTTTATTCAATGTACACAAAGTAATAAACATGGGGGTTGAGTGGGGAGCGACAGAGCTGAAATGACAATCACTGAGAAAAAAAAATAAAAATAAAACAAAGCCAAAAAGAACTGCAGTCTTTTTTGTCATCCATTGGCAGTTGGACTGACCCCGTCGTCAGCCAGTTACAATGGTGGTTCGAGGGGAGGGAGTGGCCATGTCATCAAAGGGGCGGCGCGGGAGGCTCTTTCTTCGTTGGTGCCGGTTTAGTCGTCGTTTTTGTCGTCTTGGGAGCCGGGGTCATCTCCTTGAGGTTGAGGTTCTCCAGTGCCACGTCCAAGGTCATGACCTCAACACAGCCCATGGCCTCGAAGTCAGCGAAATTCCGCAATGAGCCATGACAGTCGTCCTCGTCCTCGGAGGAGGAAGCCGAGGCGTCGTCGTCGGGCAGCAGCGTGGATAGAAGCAGCTCAGTCACAAACAGGCTCCTGTCGGCCCACTGGGCCTCGCACGCCTGCCGCTCCGCCTCGGACAGCCGCGGTTCGCTCAGCCTGCGGAAGAGAGATTGAAAAGTGGTGAGGGGAGCATGTAACAGTTGATAAGACAACGAAATTTGTGATGTCACAAAATCCTGCTGGTAGATACACACCTTAACGTGAGATTCTATAAATAAAGAAATGATACACTGGAGGTTTTTTTTACCGATCTGCATTTTATTTGTCTCAGTTTCACTTTATTCCACTGAATGACAGGTGGCAGAAATGCACCAACACATGCAGAAAATAAAATCATAAGTAAATATGGATGTAAAGAATGCAGCTTTCAAAATATTAAACAGCTTCACAATTACAAGGATGAAAGCACATTGGACATGTGTTTGTGATAAACACTGAATGTAAACAGAAACTTAGTTTACAGAGAACTCCAAAGGCAATATTAAAGTTGAGCACAGAGAAAGTGTCCCCCTTTAAAGATAAATCTGAAAACAGCTTTCTAGTGTTCAAACTCTG